AAAAAAAAAAAAAAAAAAAAAAAAGAAAAAAGGCGAGAGAGGACGGCAGTTTCATGGGGTTTTTGGATAAATAAACAAGTGCCATACCTTTTTAAAAATTCCATATACTCAGTATGCTTGATGAGGCCTGTCCTCATCATTATTGTTTGAAAACATTGCCGATCAATAGCCCAAAGTTTCACATTTACGAGAGCTGGAAAAAAAACAAGACAAGGGGAAAATGTGATTAGCAAAAAATGTCCAAATTCCTGTTGTGAACTGCAGAGGAAAACGATGTCATTGATAGGAAAGCATGGAAATGGAGAACATTGCAAACCAGGAGATTCAGCCGCTGGACAATGGACTAAGCATGCGTGGAAATGACTGGGAAAAAACATTTTTGGTGGAAAGATGGCCTGGAGGAAGCTGTGAGAGGAGGAGAAATCAAGGAAGGCTGAAGGTGTGCAAGGATTTGGGGTCAGTTCATCATAACCTGAGGGATTTCGGGACATTCTTAGTGCATTATCCAGCAAAAACCATTGAACTTTCATCCTATTCCCCAAAAAAGGGAACAGATTCCACCTTGGCCTCAAGGAAATTTCCAGACCYAAGCCCTGTTACACCCTGATAATGAAACACCTGCTAGTTAGGGAGGTTTTGAGTCATTCTGTTCCAACTTCAGTTTTCAGGTCCCTGCTGAATTCTGAGACTTCTGAGTTATGCAGAAAACATCACATCCCAATCACCAGATACAAAATTCCATTGTAAAACCAGGGAAAAACAGGGTGTAAGTAGAGAATGGAACCCCAAAAGGTCCAGATTTTACCTCACCCGTGGTTTAGATATTTGCATTAACCATAAATGCTTGAGTATATACAGTTTATAATAGAGCTTCTCCTTAGAGAAACAGTTTGATTAAAACTATTTCCCAAAGCTCTACACTTGAATTGATTTCTATTTTTTCAGAGAGTAAATGCAATAAATTCTATCCCCATGCCCCCATTTAACTACAGGAAACAGCACGGAGCRAACAGACTTTCAGCAAAATATTTACAAATATTCTCACTGATAAAATCCATGAAATTAATGTGCTTCAGCTCCCAAACCTCCTCCTTGATGAGCTTTTATCCTAAACTGTGTTTGCAGGATGGGAAATCTTCAAAGTGCAAATTCAAAGATTTCTTCTTGAGTTGCACAGAAGATCATCCTTTACAGCCTCTTCTCCTTTTCAACACAGAAAMTTCTCTTTTAGAGAAGCATTTTTAGTTTTAAAGCCAAGTGGAAAAATGCTTAAATTTCCTTCTGCCTGGGCATGTCAGCATGGTTTTATTCAGTGCCATCATCACACAAGGTGCTCCAGGCCAGGCTGGACAGRGYTTGGAGCACCCTGGGACAGTGRMAARTGTCCCYRATGGATGAGCTGTAATGTCCTTTCCAATCCAAACCATTCCAGGTACAGAGASATAAATAAATATAATTCAYGTACCACTGTTTATCATTTTACAGATATAGTACTCTATTATATCCTATTTATTTTAATAAATCCATACATACACCCCCTAATTATACACAGCCCCCCCATGGTCCATGCAGCTCAGGAATCAAGAGAAGTACACACAATACACTTCTGCGTTAATTATAACTTCACTAATTATAAATCACACTTTACACTGCCATTTCTGCTGCCTTAATGATAAACAGATGCTTTAGGAAAGGCTAATCAGGGCAGAGATTTAAATGTCAGCAGGACCCTTATAATCAGCATGAGCATCTTCTCCTGTCGTGCTGAAACCCCCTCTCAGTGCTGAAGAAGCAGGAGGAATTCTGTGGGATTTGATGCTGTTACAGATTTCAAAGTTATGTATTTAGGAGTGCCCTGAGGTRCAAAATATATCTTTGGGATTTGTCCCACAAATTCAGCATCCACTGGGRATGGCAGAGTTAGAGCAGACACAGACACAGAGATTTCTTGCTCCATCCCTCTCCACACAGCTTATGTTGAATGCTGGGGGTAAAATATCTCATTCCCTGACTGCAGGAGGCACAACCATAAAGGAATATATTCAGTGAAATGATGTGTCTGCACCAGGAGTTTCCTTACTCAATAATCTGAAACATAACCCTGCAATCAAAGCTGCTCCATCCATGCCAGCAATGCTACAATTCAAGTTTAATGCCTCTTTTACACTTTTTTTCCCAGTGAAATGCCATAGCTGGGGTTYTGTTTGATCCTTGGGACAGCACAGAACAAAATCACTGCTCGTCCCAAAGCCACCAGCATTTTGGACAGGGATGCCCAAGACTGGGATTTCTAYTTGGCTGCAGTTTTAAGAGCTCTCCAGGTGAGGGTATTGGGCACTGCAGAATATTTGAACTGCACTTTCAAACAACAGATTGATGTCAATTATGATTTATGATGATTTATGATGGATTTCTGCTGTGGTTCAAGGGCTGAAGACAAAGCAAAATGCTGCTGGAGAAACAGGGAAGAGCTGAGGCAGAAGAATCAGGATTTCCAGGGTCAGAACTGGATGGGGGTTGAGATGTTATCATTAAAGTTTAAATTTTAAATGCTTGTCATGGTTAAGCCCTCATTTCTGATTCAAGCTGCCCGGCATTATCTAAATCAATGATTTCAGCAAATGAGCCAAACCCCAAAACTGTCAGAAAAATGAATCCAGAAACCCCAGAGGGCTATGTCAAAAAAAAAAAAAGGAGCCAGAGGACTCCTGCAACTTCACTTGAATAAAGGCAGAGAGCCCGCTGGGGCACATGCTGGTGGAGTTTTCTCTCTCGAGGTTTTGGAGGACACAGCCCCTTTTATCCCATATTCTGGCAGAAAGTTCTTCCTTTCCCCATCAGCTGAAGGACCAGGAAGGTACAGCCTCCCTGAACCTCCTGCTTTCCATCCTCCCTCGAACCTGGCATTTCCCCCCAAAGTTCAGAAACTCAGCCTTGTGTGGACCCATTTATCTGTTCCAGGAGTGGAACTGTCTGGGTTCTGTAACAAAACTTGTGGCTTGCAGTGGGCAGAGACATCCATTCCCATTTCACAGCCATCAACACCCATCCCTCACCCATGAAATGGTTTGGGAAGACATCAGAGCACACCTTCCCCATCAACATCCCTGATTAAAGCAAATTTTAAAACTTGAGAAACCATTTCCAACTTCTTTTCCAAAAAGAAGCCTTTTCTAAACTTTTCTATAAATTTACCTGGGAACCCATGAAAATATATGCCAGTTCAGAGGGGTGAACAGAGGGATGCAGAGTCCAGCCCAAAGCCTGGGATTTGTCCCAGCTGTTTTGTCCATGGCTGGAGCCTTCTCTTCTCCAKGCTGAACAGCCCMAAAYCTCTAAATAAKAGGGATTATTCATTCTTGAACCTCTCCAGGCCTTAATTCCCTTAATTTTCAATGCTTCCATCACATCCCCAGTCTGCTCAAGGACCAAGTTTGGGCTGTTTTGCTTCTTTTCTTCTTGTGGACCCCGTGGCTGAAAATCATCAAGTTTAGGRTCAGATCTGAGCTACTCCTCTCCCTTCATCACGTGCAAAGGCAATGAAATAAGGGGAAAATGCACAGTTTTAAGTGAAAATATTTACGGAAGAGCAAATATTACGTTAGGTAATGTGAAATATTTTATGTTAGATATGTGGGGAAGTCCTTAACATTAACCAATCCTTGCACTCAGAGCAGCCAGCAGRGGCATTATTTCCAAAATGAAACGCAATATTCACAGGGCCCTGCATTCTCTTAGCACCTTCCCAAGTTTTTGTGCGCTCACTGAAGCCTCTCCAAGCCTTTTCAAGGATCACCAGGTGAATCATCCTCAGCCCAAATGCTGCTGGCAGTGTTATCAGACCTGAAAATTATTATTCCCTTGCACTCCAGACTRGAATTCAGCAGCTCACTCCAGCCTTCAGGCCATTCCATTCCAATAATTGTTTGTTTATCTGCCYTCAGGCAAAGAACCAGCAGCAACTTTGTGTCCTCAGGGCTTTTTTGGGCAGACAAAGCCTCACATTTCCACTCCTATTGAACCATCCTCCCACCAGGGTTGGGTTTTGCTGGGGATATTGTGGAAATTGCCATGGGGGAAAGCACAGCCATTTCCAGCTCTTTCTGTGTTAAGTATGAAATGATGATGAAAAGCACCTTTAACTAAAGAGAAGGAGCAGATGGAATTGTTTATCCTGCCAAACACACCAGGAATCATGAGGGAGGCTCCAGCAGACTCCAGGACACAGTGGGCAGTGATGCAGAGGGGATGCATCCAATGGCTGCAGAAGGAATAAATTCCTTTATTCCCTGATGTTTCTGTTCCAACTTTCTGCTAACAACAGTGCTGGGACAAGGATGACTCCATCCTGATATCCCATTTTCCACTAGGTCMTTTCCTGTTATTCCCCAGGGAGGGTTTGTCAGTATGGAAGGAGTAATTTTAATTGGCCTGAGGATAAATGCAGAGAAAAAACTCACACTGCCAGAGGAGGGGGGGTCAGATGGGATTTTGGGAAGGAATTGTTCCCTGTGACTGCCCCTGGATCCCTGGAAGTGTCCAAGGGCCCTGGATCCCTGTAATATTTTGGCAGCTGTTCAATCCCTTGTCTCAGAGGTGACAAATAAGAAATCCAGGTCTTGTGAGGAGGAAAGGAAGCAAAAGGGATGCGGGACTCCAGGGAGCTCTGCTTTCACCCCAATCAATTCCAGAGACCCCGAGATCCCAAGGAAGTGGGTAAGGTTTGACTGGGAATGACACATTCCTGGATAAAATCGGGTATGACCAAGGAAGGAAGCAGAGGGAAATCAATATTACCAAACTCTACTCTTGAACAAAACCACCTAAAGTATGAAATATAGACGTAGACACAGGTATAAATATACAAATATCTAAATCTAAAAATATCTCAATCTGAATGTAAATATGATACAGTGTTAAAAAGGCATCTGAAACTGTTAAATTTAACAGTATTAAGCAGRTCTGACAACATCTATCAGCCAGAACTAAGCACAATCATCTGGAGCAGATCCTACCTAGCATGCCAGGATTTTTCTTGGATTAATCCAACCTCCTGTCCCAACGTCTCACAGAAAACTCCTGATGAATTATTCAGGAACTACCTCACCCTGAGTGATTTGAAGGCCCCTGATGTTTCCCAGGCATTTGTTTTTCCCTAATCTTTGCTGYCTCCCCAAACCTCTCCATCCTCTT